ATGAAAATAAGTTGCATCTAAACTTCCACATCTCCAACATTTGGGCTGTAAATTAGAATACATGCATGACAATTTTTGAGGATCCAAATGCCACCTATAAAACATCTTGTAAAAATTTTCTCTTAAATTTTGGGCTTGAGTAAATTTTACATTTTTAACCCAAATTGTCTCCCATGTATCCAATGAAATCGATTCTTGAGATGTTGGAACATTGCTATCATGTCATCTCTAGTCCTTCTCTTCATTAAACTAAACATATCCAATTCCTGCAACCATTCTTTATATATTTTAGCCTCCAATTCCCTAATCATCTTTGTTGCTCTTCTCTGCACTTTCTAGAACCTCAACATCTTTTTTACATCATGGCGATTAAAACTGAATGCAGTATTCCAAGTGTGATCTTACCAAGGCGTTATAAAGTGGTATTAACACATGACCTTGATTCTGTCCCTCTGTTAATGCAGCCTAGAACTGTGTTGGCTTTTTTGGCAGCTGCAGCATACTGCTGGCTCATATTTAAATGATTCTCCACTAGGACTCTGAGATCCTGCTCACAATTACTACTATTGAGCCAGGTACCACCTATACTATATCTGTGCATTTGGTTTTTCTTGCCTAAATGTAGAACCTTACTTTTTTTCACCATTGAATTTCATTTTGTTAGATAGTGCCCAATGTTTAAGTCTATCAAGATCCTTCTGTATCTTAAGCCTATCTTCTGGAGTGTTCGCTATTCCTGCCAGCTTGGTGTCATCTGCAAATTTGACGAGTTCCCCATCTATCCCCTCATCCAAATCATTGATGAAGATGTTGAAGAGTATTGGACCTAAAACAGGGCCTTGGGGTACCCCACTGCATACTTTCCTCCATGTAGATGCACTTCCGTTGAGGATTACACGTTGAGTGCAGTTGGTCAGCCAGTTATGATATCTGGCGGTGATGTTGTCTAATTCACATTTTTCTATCTTATCAAGTAATAGGTTGTGGTCTATTTTATTAAATGCCTTACTGAAGTCCAAGTAAATTATATCCACAGCATTCCTCTGGTCCACTAATTTTGTCACTTGGTCAAAGAATCCAATAAGATTTTTCTGGCATGATCTGTTTTTGACAAACCCATGTTGGCTTTCCGTAATGACTTTGTTTGCCTTTAGGTGTTCGCTGATTTGTTGCTTGATTATCTTTTCCAGAATTTTCCTGGTATTGAGGTCAGGCTGATCGGTCTGTAATTTCCTGGATCTATTTTTCTTCCCTTTTTTGAAGATGGGAACTACATCAGCTATTTTCCAGTCCTCTGGTAGTTCCCCAGTGCTCCAGGATCTTTGAAAGATATAGTTTAGTGGTTCTGAGATGACATCTGCCAGTTCCTTCAGAACCTTGGGGTGTAATCCATCTGGTCCTTGTGATCTGAACTCGTCTAGGGTGGACAGATGCTCACTTACCATTTTCTTGCCTATTTTAATGTGTTTCTGATCTGTTTTTTACAGTACTGTTTTTGATAGGTTGGGCTCTTTTTTCCTTTTGTGTAAAGATGGATGCAAAAAACAAGTTAAGCAGTTCTGCTTTCTCCCTGTTGCTTGTTACCTTCTTACTACTTTCTCCCATTATTGGATTAATATTTTCCTTGACTTTTTCCTTGGTTTTTACATGTTGAAAGAAGGTTTTTTTTGTTATTTTTGACTTTTGTCGCAAGCCTTAGCTTGCGATTTTGAGCCTTAGCTTTCCTCACTTTTGCAGGTTCGGGTTATTTGCTGATATTTTGTCTTAGTTATGTGTCCCTCCTTCCACTTTTTATCTTTGTCCTTTTTGTCTTTCAATTTATCAGAGAGTTCTTTATGCATCCATGCTGGGGGGTTTTTGAGAGCTGTTATTTTTTCTTCTTCACTGGTATTATGCTAGACTGGACTTTTATAATCTCACTTTTCAAAGTTTCCCAAGCTTTTTGGGTTGTTTTCCCCTTGAGGATTCTCATCCATGGAATCCTGCCCAAGCTCTCTCTAAGTTTATTGAAATTAGCTCTCTTAAAGTCCAAGACTCTAGTTTGACTTTGTTCTATTGCTTGTGCTTGCATAATGTTGAATTTCCATATTGCATGATCACTCTTCCCCAAGGTTCCTGTGGCTTCAACACCTTCTATCATTTCATCTCTGTTAGTGAGAATTAAGTCCAATATGGTTGATCCCATAGTTCCTTTTCTACCTTTTGGGAGAAAAAGTTATCTGCTAGGTTTGTCAGGAACCTGTTTCATCTTCCACTTGGTGCAGAGTATATCTCCCAATTGATGCCAGGATAGTTAAAGTCCCCCATTACTATTGTGAAATGCTTCCTACGTACCTTAGCTAACTGATTAGCAAAAAGTTCATCTATTTCCTCTGTGGCCTATAGTTTTTTCCGCTTTTATATTGACCCAAATGCATTCAAGACAGTTTTCACCATTGTTGTGCTCTATTTCTGTGGAGAGGTAGCTATTTCTTATATATAATACAACTCTGCCTCCTCTTTTATTTGGTCTGTTTCTTTTAAATAATTTAAATCTCTCTAGCTGTATATTCCATTTGTGGATTTCACATTAGTTTCTTTCAGTAGCAGTAGCCAAAAATGCCCAGGTTTTCAGGAGTATCTGTTTAATATCTGATTAAGATGTTTAAGCTTTTCTAGTCTTAGTACTCTCCACCCAAAACTCAGGAATTTAGTAGGATACCAGGATTAAGCATGAATTCTATGCCTAGCTCATGGACAACTTAGCCTGCCAAGTGTTTGGCAACTACTGACATATTCTTCTTTTTGCAGAATATGTAGTGGGCATTCCTAACATGAGCCTGACACAAGGAGGGGTGAGTACAAGACACAAAGCAGGAGAATTATAAAGGGAGGGGTGGTGCACCTGTTTTGTCTCTTCCAGAGAAAAAAGTGGAATCCAAACAAAAACAGCTTATTTATTGTATATAAAAGGACACATAGCAGCCTTTTTAGGGAACTTCCTTAGGCTCAGTTTACGTATTCTGAGTGTGGACTTGATATTGGGTTGCATGTCTGAACAACAGCACAGATTATGGTCTCCTCCCATGTATGCAGAGAAGCATTTTGTATATGTCCCTATTGCATTTATTCTAGGATTGAGCAATAGCTTATTATTTTTTCCCTCCACTACACTGAAAACAAGTCTTGGTTCATAAGAAACAGTGATAGTCACTTAGCAAGTGTTTCCACCTGTTTCGGGCCAGTGAGTGTGTTTGGGATTTTTCTAGGGGGATTTGTCCAGAATGGTTGCACAGGGGATGCTTGTCCATTTGGAATCTCAGCCTTACAATATAGGTTTTTTATTCCCCAAATGCCCTCTTGATCAGGACCTCTATTTGTTCTGCTTCTTACTCTGGGGGATGGTCAGGCTAAATAACCTCTTGGACTCCAGGTTCCATCTGCCAAGCCAGCATGACTGATGGACAAAGCTGTGGAAATTTTGGTCAAGCAATATCAGATTTTCATAGTGTCCAGTGAACACTCATGGACATGAAAATATTGTATATTCTAGTTTCTTGAAAAACAAAAATAGCTGGATCTCTTTGAGAGGGCAGAACTTTAATCTGCTTGATTCTTTGTCCCCATTTCTTATCTTAGGTGGAAATTCTTACGAGGACCTATAAATTCCACATTCTCTGGACTCTCCTCAATGAGCAGGTAAAAAAAATATATCTTTCACTTGCATGGTTTCCTTTGCTTCTTCTAACCCATCAGTAATGTTTTGGTGGTTCCTTCCAAATACGTTTGAAATGCATGCTAGCTGGGAATTCTTGCTTTTGTAATCCTATCTGAAAAGCAAGATGTTTGAGAGGACTTCCTTATACTCTTTTCCCAGTTGGACAGAGTGGAGGATATCTAGAAGATTTAGATAATAAATACAGCTTCCCTGGTATTGTTTAAATGTTGCACTATTGTTGGTTCTACTCACTTGGTTCATTGTAAACATTTTTTTCTTTTTCATAAAGCCAAAAATACAAATGGGATTCCTGGATGAGTAAACCTGAGTCCTTATTCCTTATGGCTCTTAAAATTTTCCAGGTCACTGGGCTAGTAGAATTGGAAAGTAATTCCCATGTGGCAGTTTGTTTGATGGGAAGGCAAACTATCATTGTATCAATTGCATAAGTTCCCAGGATGTTTTTATCTTCATCTCTTTCCTTTTGCAGGTGGCATCATATTTTGGGCATACAGTGGCAGTTGCTGATATCAATGGAGATGGGTAAGACCAAAGGAGGGGGTCAAAGTAATCTAAATTTTAATTGGATCCGAGGCAGCTTGAGGGGTAGACAGCTATTAAACTTTGGTCTGAAATTAGGGACTTCATCATCCTACTTTGTGAAGGCTTAATACAAAGACTGTTCTAAAGCTGAGGCCTCAAGGAGTAGGTTCAAAAGCATCAGTGTGTTAGAACTAGATACTAGGGTGGAAATCCAGGGATCACAGATAATGGGGATCCTAGACAAACTCACAAAGTATTAATGCTTTGGTGAATATGGGCAAGCCTAGCTAACAAGAGTTGATGCTGCCTGATGACATCACCCTTTATATTTTTCTCATTACTTTTTTTTAAATTATAGCCAAGGAGTTAACTACATAGTCATAGATGCTGATTTATTATTTCTACTTTCAAATAAACACCAAAAGAAACCTACTGCCAGATCCTACGGCTGTCTAAAAAGGGTAGATAAGACCACATAGTCCAAAGTTTATCGTTCAACCCATGAATACAAGAACAGAGCGGAATGGCAAGAGTTGAGATTTGTCAGAAAGCTCTTCATTGCTTCATCCCAATTTTGTTCAGGTCTTTGAAGAGTTGCAATCCTTACATTAGCCTGGTTTGATGCCCTCCAAACATCTCACTCCTTCCACCAACCCTATTAAACAGTCAGTGTACTGGACAGCCATAATAGAAGCTTTATTCAAATGCTTCAAAAGAGGGCCAACTAGAATTCAACACTAAATGCTAGGCTGTGTTAACTGTGCCAATTTATGGTTTAGTGTAATAAGAAGGGAAGAGATTGGGTTTTTTTAAAGTTAGAATTAGTAAATACAATAAAAGTATTAAAAAACAAAGAAAAGAAAAACAAAAGTGGATGAAGATTATTTTCTAGATTATAACAGCAGTTAAGTCCTGGTCTATGTGGACGATGTACTTAGTTTCATATCATAAAGGATAGGCAACAGAGCAGCCATCCGAAGCACTTTTTATTCTACAGCTTGATTAGCTGTAAACAGCAGATGAATAACCAACATAGAGTTTCCTGTCCCCATTACCAATTCTAACCACCTCTGTTGGTTGCCCTTGTTTCCAGCCAGTGCCATTATTTCCTGTCTAGGGAAGATTGTCCTCTCCCAACCCATCAGGCCCTTCATGACACCATTTGATAATCATAGCCAAAAAAGATCGCTACTGTGAATAGAAACAAAAGGCCCTAAATTTTTGAAATTCTCTCTCTTTTTAACTTAAATAATCAATTTGGTAACTAAATAATTTTGGACATTGATTTTAATGGTTCATGTGGCAAGAAGTAATTATTTCCATTATATCACAGGCATTTCAAACGATCCCTTAGGTTCCAATCATCCACCATTCCATTATGAATAATTGCTTCTACATCCTGATAAATTAGAAAAACAACCCACGGAATGTATTTATCTGTTTACAAAAAAACTTTTGAGAATATGGAGTGTTTTGGTTTGAAGAGTATTTTTTTTTTTTTTTCAATATAGAATTTTATTGTTTTTATCATAAACAAAAAAATACATCACAAGTATTACACAATGATTTATCCCATCCCCCTACCCCCCAGACTTCCCAAACCAAACCTAGGCTAACATTCAACTACAAGTAAACAAATATTAATATCTCTAACTCCAAACTCTAAACTTAAGCAATCCATCTCCT